TAAACCCTAAACCCTAGAGGGTTGAGAGGGAGGCTCGAACTCGGGTGCTCTCCACGCGCTTGCACTTGCCAAGGAGCCCTGGGTCTGAGCCGCCTCTCTCCTGACTGCGCCTTGATTCGTTTTTTTTTTTTCGGCTTTAGGGTTTAGGGTTTAGGGTTTAGGGTTTAGGGTGGAGGGGGGGGGGGGAGGGGGGTTATTATTACGAGAGGGGTCGGAATAACTAAATACTAGTAATCTTCCCTGATGGTCCCTTTAGAAGTATACTAGCAGAAGCACCCCCCCAAAACCCTCTTCTAATCATTCAGGCTCCGTTTTTAGGTTTTGGGGTTTAGGGCTGTTTGAGGGTTTTGGGTTTTTTTACGGTTGGGGGTTTGGGGGTAGGGCTGATTTTGGGGCTTTAGGTTTCAGGGCTGCTTAGAGTTTGGGGCTTAGGGTTTTAGGGCTGTTTTGGGGTTTGGGGCTTAGGGTTTAGGGCTGTTTTAGGGTTTGGCAGTGAAACAGGGTATCTTTAGGGCGTTGAGGGCTCTAGACATGTCTTAAGGTATATTCTCGAATTAAGGGGGCTTGGGCTCTTTGGGCATACATCTTGCTACTACATTCAAGGCATATGAGCCGTGTGCGTTTTTTTTTGCACTCCTCAGTGAGATGTCCGAACCTCAAACCTGTATCTCAAACACTGCAGCCCCCTTGGCTTGGTGGGTCATTCCAGGGCCGTAAATCCTAACCTAAACCCTAAACCCTAAACCCTAGACCCTAAACCCTAAACCCTAAACCCTAAACCCTACAGACCCTGAAGACCCAAAACTCTCAGCCCGGTTCCCTGAGCCTCGCGAGCCGCTCAGTTGCGGGCGCCACTCGGGAGCCAAGCGCCAGGGCTCCCACGGTGCCTTGTCTTACGTAACTACTGTATACAGGGTTTAGGGTTTGGGGTTTCGGGTTTAGGGTTTCGGGTTAGGGTTTAGGCATTGCAGGGGCTTACACACTAGGTAGACCTTGGGACATTTATTATATTCTCTTATTGGTTTTGAGAGGGTCATTTTCAGAAATATGTTTCAGAGGGTTCCAGGCCATCCTAGTTAGAGCCTGCAAATCCGGAGTGTAGTGAATGGCACTCTGTTTGCAGGGTTGGTTCTGGGGTCGTTGGGAACTTCATGTGCATATACATGTGCATATATAGAGGGATGGTTTGAGGTCTGAACAGCATTTTTGCACAGGGGCAAAGTTGCTGCTCTGCACTTGGAGAAGAGGCAGGTTGTAACCCAGAATCAAAAGCCCCAGACCCTGAACCCTAAACCGTAAACCCTAAAGCCTAAACCCTAAACCCTCAAGTTGTTGGTTCGAGTGTTTGCTTCGTTCACCTCATATTCTCCGTTGCGCAAGGGACGGTTCCCTTGTCGCTCCCTGGGGTAAGGGTTTAGAGTTAAGGGTCCAGGGCTTAGAGTTTAGAGAAACCGCAAGCAACTTTGCCGGGAAACACCGGACGCCAGGGATCAGGCCTTAGATTGTAGCGCGTGGGAAAACGGCGTATTCGAGCTCAGTTTGCTAAAACCTGAAATCTTTAACCCTATAAACTCTAAACCCCTAAGTAGCGGCTATTTGGGTTAAGGGTGCTGAAAACCTCACAAGCTCTTTAACCCTAAGCTCTAAGCTCTCAACCCTAAACCCGAAACCCTAAACCCCAAACCCTAAACCCTAAACCCTAAACCCTAAACCCTAAACCCTAAACCCCCTGCGCCAAGGTCACTAGGCGTGTCTTGGTGCCTCAGCTCTCCGACTGGCGAAAGCCTTTCAAGCCCCGTATCAAGCCGGTTCGGCCCGACCACAAGAGGCGCCAAAGGGTTTTGGGTTTAGGGTTTAGGGCTAGGGTTTAGGGTTTAGGGTTTAGGGTTTAGGGTTTAGGGTTTCGGGTTTGGGGTTTAGGGTTTAGAGGGTTTAGGGTTGCGGGGCTAAGGTTTCGGGTTTGAAGTGCCGGAGCCCCTCTAACCTAGATGATTGTACCAGGGTGGGGAGGTGGAGTAGTGCAAGCATGGGCACCCTTATGAGTTCTAGATACCTTACCTTTCCGGTATACGAACATGATGCCCTCCCACGAACAAACCCGAACCTTGTCGAACTTCAACCCTGAGTCCGAGAGGCTCCCAGCTCGAAACCAAACACACAGCACGGCATGACGGGGACCCTAAACCCTAAACCCTAAACCCTAAACCCTAGACCATGGGGGCAGGGGGGCAGTGGAGGGATGCATTCGTGTCTGTATGCCTCCATGCATGCATGAATGTTATTTTGCTTAGTGCTTGGAGGTTCATGGGTATACTTTGAGCCTGCTTGGAGAACTCAGGGGGCCTGTAAGTGAATCCTTTGAACCTCCACAAGTGGGGCGTTTTGGTTTGTATGCGGGGGGCCGGGGGGGGGGGGGGGGAGCGCGGGGGGGGGGGGGGAGCGCGTGGGGGGGGGGGGGGGGGGGGGAGAATGGTCCCTAAACCCTAAACCCTAAACCCTAAACCCTAAACCCTAAAGTTTGCGTGGTGTTGGGGGGGCGGGGGGCAGGTTCCCGGCTGACGAGCCCATGAAGTCCCGGCCGCAGTTCGCCAAGTTTGCGCTCATGGCCAAGGCTGGCTTCTTTGGGTTAAGGGTTAAGCTTTAGGGTTTAGGGTTTAGGGCTTAGGGTTTAGGGTTTTTCAGGGCTTTTGTGATCTTGCGCGCAAGTCTTAGCAAGGCTTCAGAAGGGCAAACTCATGTCTGGACTTGGAATAAGAAGATTTGTGATAAGGGCTTATAAGGCACTGTTGGGGCTTTGGGAAGGATGAGGAGCTGATCGAAAGTCACTCCCAAACCCATCCTCAGGGACTCAATGAACCCTGAAAATGGGATCCTCGACCCAACACGACTCCAGTCCCTGTTCAGGTAGATAGGGGCTGAACCCCAGCCCCAAAACCCCTGAACCCTAATGTCGTAGGGTTTTTGGGCCTGGGGATGGAGGTCTAAGCCCCTGAGCCTGAAGCCCTCCCCCCGAAAATCCCTACATCCCCATTGCGAAAAAACCCTCAACCCTGTAGACCCTCAACCCTCAACCCTCAACCCTCAACCCTCAACCCTCAACCCTCAACCCTCAACCCTCAACCCTAAACCCTACCTAGGTTGACCCTTTTAAAGGCCCTCTACGAGAAAGCTCCAGGAGCTTTGCTGGGTGACCAGCAAGCAGCTGGAGGATGCGCGGCGCGAGATCGTCAAGGCCACAGGCCGCACGGCCAAGGTGGGGAGGGGCTGATTAGGCACAAGGGGGTTTAGGGTTTAGGGTTTAGGGTTTAGGGTTTAGGGTTTAGGGTTTAGGGTTTAGGGTTAGGGGCTTAGGGGGTTTAGGGAGTTTGTTGGGAAAGTTTAACGGGTTTAGGGTGTTTAGGGTTTTCAGGATGAAGGGGCCTAATGTGGTTTTATGGGTTTGGGGAGTTCTGCTGAGGGTTGGGGGCTTAAGCGGGTTAAGGGGTTTACAAGGCTTGGGTTTAGGCAAAAAAAATAAGGGTCTATAGGGCTGAAGGGGTTTAGGGGTATCGGGTTGGGTTGGCAAGGGTTTGCGGCTTTAGGTCACAGGGATCCCAATGCCCTAAACCCTATGTCCCCATGCGCTACACCCTGAACCATGTTTGAGATCAGTTCCTCCCAATTTTTCAAGACATCATACGGTTTCATGGCTTGGGAATGAAGACGGAAATCTTTGTCGGTTCCAAGAGGCATGTAATCGCAGTGTCGGTTTCATGTTGATGGTGTCCGGCTGTAGAAATTGTTGGCCTTGTAGGCAGATCCCTCTGCCACTTTTCTGCCGCCTGCAGCGGGACCCTGTAACCTACACGAAGCGCCAGTATCCCTAAGCCCTAAACCCTTGTTCGGGGTTGCTGGGCTGACAGGTTTATCTGCGCGTCTACCCGCACAATGCCATCACGCAGAGGACTGAACAGAGACAAAGTTTTGGTTCCGCAGAGTCCAAAATGTTCACTTCATATTAACAACCCCTACCCCCTAAACCCTAAACCCTAAACCGTGTGTTCGCTTCATATTACTTACCCCCCGCCCCCCCTTTCAAGGTATGGTCACAGGCCGTTGGTTCCGTAATTAACATTAAGTCTTTGGACCTTAGCGGTCCCAGACTGCGCGTCCCGACGTTCAAACCTTACGTCCCCAAACCGCACGTCCTCAAGACTTGGAGGGGAAGGTAGAGGCAGGGCTGCGTTTTCCAGGCCTCCTAGAACACGCATTTTGCTGGCAGGCGAGATGGGGGGGGGGGGGCAGGCGGAATGCATTTTAAGAGAGGGCAAAACGCACTTTGCTTGCAGGCGGGAGTGAGGGGGGAATGCGTTTTCCAGGCCTTCCAAAACGCATGTTGCTGTCAGGTGGGAAGGAGGGGGGGGGGGGGCGGGTGCATTTTCCAGGCCTTTTCAACGCATTTTGCTGGCAGCAGTTGGCTTGAAGGCAGGGAAAGGCGGAATGCATTTTGCGGGCGAGTGGGAAGGAGGATGCATGGGGAAGAGAGGGACTGCGTTCTCCAGGGCTTCCAAAACGCACTTTGCTTGCAGGATCTTGCAGGCGGGAGTTGGGGAGCGGGGCGGGGGGCTGCGTTTGCCAGGCCTCCTGGCTTGTTTGCGTTCTTCATGCCTTTTGAAATGCAGTTTGCCCAATTGTTTTCAGCAACAAAGGAAAAGGCAGCTTTTCAACCGGCTTTGGCCCGGAAGGATTGTGCAACTACGGGGGGGGGGGTGTTATAATTACATTCTGGGATTTGGATTGTGCAGTTACGACGGGGGGGTTATTAATTTACAAGGTCAACATTACCCACCCACCCCTCTTTTTGGCTACCCAGATTCCTAGATTGTATGTTTAGCTTATACTATACACAGAATTTCCTGCGAGTAACATTTGAAAATGACCCCGCCGACCAACGCAAACGAGGAGCTACATCTGAGGGTCAGCGAACTTGGCTTGCTATACTACACAACGGCTATAGCTGGGATATCCTAAGTTCTAGGGAGATATTAGGGTGCTTGTAGCCCTATACATATAACCCAGGAACCGGATGTACTACCACCTCATTTACCTACATAAACAGAAAGTATCTGAACGTCGGAATATACACACAGAACAACTGGAATTGTTGCACGTTAAATATGCAAAGCGCTGTAGGAATATCACTACACTTGTACTAGGACCCAGAGTAGGCCCTTTTCCCTTTTTTAGGGTTTAGGGTTCCCTTGTAAGTCCTTTTAGACCAAAAAGGGTAACCATTTTGTTCATAGCTGTCTGTGGGGTCTAGTATTTACTAATTGCTTAAAGCAGATTTATGTTGTTTCGCTTTTGCGGGGTTTCTTAAGCAAATAGTAGTATACTCGGTGGAGTAGACGTAGAATTTGGGTTATAGCTACCCATGAAACCCTAACCCTCAACCCTAAATAACAGGGGTTATAAGTACCCAAGAACCTCCAAGTACACTCATATGGCTCACAAACACATGAAGCCCAATACTTTGAACTAACGAATATACCTTACCTTTATAATGGCTCCTTAATATGTATGTTCCCTGTTTTTAAACCCTAAACCGTTTAGGGTTTAGGGTTTAGGGTTTAGGGTTTAGGGTTTAGGGTTTAGGGTTTAGGGTTTAGGGTTTAGGGTATTGGGATCTTTGGCCTCTTTGGGTGAAGCACACTCCAGGATTGCCGACAGCCGCACGGGCGCCAGCAAGGGGCGGTTCGAGTACTGGGTTGCTGCTCTGACGCCCGGCAGGCATCCCTAAACCCTAAACCCTAAACCCTAAACCCTAAACCCTAAACCCTAAACCCTAAACCCTAAACCCTAAACCCTAAACCTAAACCCTAAACCCTAAGCGGTGGGGGATGAAGGTTTAGGGGATTTTCGGGGCTTCAGGCTTCTCTCTTGTTCTCGAAGTATCTTGTGCAGATCCAGGGGGGGAGGTGGGGTTAGGCCTAGGATCCCTTTGACCCTAGACCCTAAACCCTATGGGGGTTTCGGGTTTCAGGGATTAAACCCTATAAGCCTTAAGCCCCAAGTCCTTTGGGCTCCAGGGTTTGGAGCCTTGAGGCCTTTGGGGGGGAGGTCTAAGCGTGGCCGACATCCTGTGAAGCTGTGTGGGGATCACTGTTGGGTAGGGGTTTAGGGTTTAGGGTTTAGGGTTTAGGGTTTAGGGTTTAGGGTTTAGGGTTTAGGGTTTAGGGTTTAGGGTTTAGGGTTTAGGGTTTGGGGTTTGGGGTTTGGGGTTTGGGTGTAGGGTTGAGGGTTGAGGGTTGAGGGTTGAGGGTTGAGGGTTTTAATTAGGGTAGGGTTTAGGACGTAGAATTGAGGTTTTGGGTTTGGGGTGGTTGGGTGGCAAGGTTGCTTGGTATCTTTCGTACGTACCAAAATTTTGATCTGCAGCCGGTCCGGTCTTCCGCAAGCCGGGAGGATCCCTGGGCCCTGTGGGCCCTGAACTGCGCGGATCGCTCAACCGGGAGGATCCCTGGTACACTCCCCCACTACTCACTAAGGCTCCCGAAGCTTCCCTAAGTTTTCCAGGTACCTACCCCCCGTGAACTCCCCTCCCTTAAGAACCCTACAGCAGAGTTTTGGGGTTGGGAATGTTTTGGTTCCATAGTCTACTTGGAGGTTCAGGGTATTTATACCCCCCATTAGAACTGTACTTATAAGCCCCCGAAGTCCTCTAAGTAGGTTACAAGTAGACTTGTAGTTGGGGTAATAACCCGAAACTCTAAACCCTAAACCCTGGGGTTATAAGTACCCACGAACCTCCAAGTAGGGCATCGCTGCAAGGCGGACTGTCTGTGGTCACATGGCAGGGGTGGGTGGGTTGATCTGGGCAATGGGTCCGGTTTGTTGCCCTACGCAATGAGGAATCCACGAGAAACCCCAAACCCTTAACTCTAACCCAAAACCTAAACCTTAAATCCCAAACCCTAAACCCCAAACCCTAAACCCTGAACCCAAACCGCGATGGCCCCAAAGCACGTGCCTGAAAACCCAGGAAGCCTGGTGTGGTCATCTTCGAGTTAGATGTGGAGTCGGAGGAGTGGACGGTTTGGGGTTATCAGGGTTTTTGGAGCTTCGGGTAAGAATAAAATTAGGGTTTATAGGGTGGATAGGGTCATGGGTTTTTAGGGATTACAGGGTTTGGGCTTAGGGCAAGTTAGGGGTATCGCACTTGGGGTTGGCGAAGCCCAAGCCCGAAAACCCTAACATTGCAACCTTCCAAGCCCTTAAACAAACCCTAAGCCACCAACCCTAAAACTTCAAAGCCCTAAACCAAAAAACCCTAAAACACCAACCCGAAAACCCAGAGACCTCAACACCATAAACCCTAAACCAAACCAGCAACCCCTAAACCCTAAACCCTAAACCCTAAACCCCAAACCCCAAACCCTAAACCCTAAACCCTTGCAGGAGCTGGCGCGGATGGCGTTGAAGGCCGGCAGCCGGATGCTGCCTTTCAAGGTGGCGTTCAAGTATCGCGAAGCCCGGCATCGGGGTTTATGGTTAGGGTTTAGGGTTTTGGGTTTTGGGTTTTGGGTTTTGGGTTTAGGGTTTAGGGTTTAGGGTTTAGGGTATAGGGTTAGGGTTAGGGTTTATGGTTTAGGGTTTAGGGTTTCGGGTTTCGGGTTTAGGGTTAGAGTGTAGGGTGGGTTTAAGGCTAGGGTTCAGGGTTCAGCGTTCAGGGTTTAGGGTTTAGGGTTGAAGCTCTTTCAGGCACTCCAGCCAGCTCTGAAAACTCAAGGACTAACCTTTTGGCCCCAGCAGCCTGGATGAGGTGCAAGCTTGTGCTTGACAGGGTGTAGTGGTAGGTTCTAATCTACAGGGCTCACAGCTACAGGTTTGAGTTTTAGGGTTAGGATTTAGAGCTTTGGGAGTTTAGGGTTGAGGCAGTTAAGGGCTTGCAGGTTTGGCCCCCGGGGCCTGGGGTGTAGGTTTTAGGGCTTGCAAATTTAGCTTGTGGGGTTTATAGCTGAAGGCGTGTTCAATCTTAGGGTTCAACAACTCCTGAGGTAAGAGGGTTGGTTCAGGGGGTTTAGAGTTTTCCAGAAAGGAGGGGATAGAGACGACTACACCCTCAGCTAAGGAAAGGAGCATGCCTACGTGATTCGCGAGGGTTTAGGGCTTCGCGTTGATTGGAGTTTTGATAGCTTTGCTTCAAGATTCAGGGGTTTAGGGCTAGGGTTAGGGTCCAGGGTTTAGGGGTTTAGTTTTTAGGGTTTAGGTTGTTCACTGCTTTACAGGGTCCCGGGCCTAAGCCCGAAATCCCCAGGCTCCTGAAAGAACTTCACTTTCACCGTTTAGCTGGGTTTTGGAGTACTGTACTTTAATACTTTTTTTGGCTCTGGGTTCCTATTATAGCTACTTATACCTAAAAAAGTATATACTTTTTTTCCCTACTCCAAAGGTAGGAGCATGTGTAGCTTCAAAGCGCAGGGCTTCGCATGGGAGCGGGCCCCCTAGCCTCGCCAACACCTATTTGCACCCTGAGCCTCCCCCCCCCCCCAAAAAAAAAAAAAAAGCAAATAAGCGGAAAGAAAGAAAGAACAAAAAGAAAGAAATAAACAAACACATCAAGAAAAGAAAGAAACAAAGAAATAAAGAAAGCAAGAAAGAAAGAAACCGTCCCGGCGCCGCGATCCCCCAAGAGACCGACTGAGGAAGAGGGCCCTGCCATGTTCGAGCTGACCGCCTGAGTGCCTCTTTGCCAGGGCCTAGGGTTAAGAGTTTGTAGGGCTTATAGGGCTTCCGAGCCAGTAGTTGGTAGGGTTTACTGGGTTTATATGGTTTGCAGGGTTTGTAGGGCTTCTTGCTCAGCCAATAGTTGAACTTTAAACTGTTGGGTTTCCTTATTTTGTAGGAATTGTAGAAGTAAGGCTTGTAGTGGTTCATAAGCAGTCGGTCTTCTCTCGCTGAGTACGTAGGGAGCTGGCGCGAGGTGTGTGGAAGTTCGAGCAGTGGACAAAAAACGGGCGAGTGCCATGGTGTTCTGGATGTGTTTTCACATAACACCTAAACCCTAAACCCTACCATTTAGGCCGTTTTGGGGTGCAGGCGCTGTGCTGTCTCTTCCAATGGCCACTACAGCCAGCCGCCCCGAAACCCCCAAACACCAGATCAAGCGGAGTTTCTTTTTTCTCTCTCTCTCTCTCTCTCTTTTTCAAAAGCTGAGCCCCTCTCTGGAAGCCTTAGCCTACGAGCACTCCAAGCATTACAAAAATCACAAATGAAAGAAATGACCAATTTTTGCAGTGAATCGCAAGATCTACCCCCGAGTCGCGACCTCTCACCGCACATCTTGCTCCCTAAACCCTAGGTGCATGGGTACTTATAACCCCAATTCTAAGTCTCCTTGTGGCCTACTTAGAGGACTCGCCAGGCTTACATGTACAGTGACAGTTGGGGTTCGAAGTACCCATGAGCTACCAGGTGGAGGAACCTCATCTAGGAGATTCATAGACTCATGGAAGCTCTGAGCAGATCTCGCCCTAAAGCCGAAAGCAACGAAACCCTGGGCTTAGGGCTTAGGGTCCTAAACCCCTGTAAGCCCTAAACCCTTAGGGTTTAGGGTTATGTTCAAACTCAAGAAGGGCTTCAGGGGGCCTTATGGTTGTAGAGCTCAAGCTTGTTCAAGCGTTAAGGAAGTTCCCACTGCGACCTATATCCTAGATTCAAGCAGTCTAAGCCCCACACCCTAAACCCCCTCGTGGCGGCAGGCGTTGGATCAGCTGCCCCCACCCCCGCGGCCGCCCAGCAACGCGCCCACGAGGCGAGCTTCACTTTGCCAGGGAGGGTTCGGGTTGGGCTTGTGGGGTTTTGTACTAGACCGAATGCAACCAGCCGCCACAGTCCACACATGCAAAGCCGCAACACTGGACACAGACTTTTAGACCTGGAAAGCCCAGATCACGAAGCAATGGGCAGGCTGAACAAGGGGCGGTGGGGGGGGGGGGGGGGCGACAACAGAAGCCCTAAACCAAACCCTAAACCAAAACCCTAAAACCCTAAACCTTAAAGCCTTAAGCCTAAACCCTAAACCGATGGCAACGAGTATGGCCCAGAATCCCCCCCCCCCCCCTCCTGCCTTTTCTCGAGCTACCATAGGGTGTTTCCTGACCCAATAGTAGGATCGAGGGTTGAGCGGTTAGTAGGGTTTAGGGTTTAGGGTTTAGGGTTTAGGGTTTAGGGTTTAGGGTTTAGGGTTTAGGGTTGTAGGCCCCCAAGGGTTTTGGGCTTAGCGACCCCGAAACCCTGAAACTCTCCTTCCTCAGCTGCAGGCTTTGCGTTTCAGACGTCTACAGGTCCGGGGCGACCTTCGGCCGAGATTTGCGCAAGTTATCGGGCGAAGGCTTGGGGCCTTGGAACCCTAAACCCTAAGCCCTAAACCCTAAACCCTAACCCTAAACCCTAAACCCTGGAGAGCCCTAAGCCGCAGGTGCCCCACAGCCAGCCGAGCCACAAGGATCCAAAAGCGACCCAAGGATTCCCCTGCCGGTTCTTGGTAGGGAATACCGGAATACCTTAAAGCCTAAACCCTAAACGGCCCTAAACCCTAAACCCTAAACCCTAAGCCCTAAACCCTAAACCCTAAACCCTAAACCCTAAACCCTAAACCCTAAACCCTAAACCCTAAACCCTAAACCCTAAACCCTAAACCCTAAACCGCAGCCCGATTATCTTCCTATATGTATATCCTTCAAGGGGCTGTTAGGGCACCGAAATTCCCTCATTCCCTAAAACACACACACATACATC